CCTCTGAACAAGCCTGAAGAAGCTGTTTACTTCTCTTGGCAAAGGATTTCAAGTCTATACTTTGTTTAAAGAAAACACTAGAACTTAAATCACCACTGAATCTGGGACTGAACAGTTAAATATATCCTATATTTCTATCATCCAGTCCAAACATTACATTTCTTCCACTATTCAGAATTAAAAAGCAAGCATTAAATAACCTACTTATCAATAAAGCTTGAAAACCTCTTGCCAGTTAAGCCTTCCATAACAAGGATTTTGAATGGATAATACAACCTTTTAATAATAAATAATTACAGATAGAATTTAAATTGGGTTGTGGGTAGGTGGTTTTTTTTTTGCTAATGCTGAAATTATCACTATGGGAATGAGAAAACAAGTTAAAACTTACATATATGCAAAAAGTAATGCTAATAATTTTAAAAATAAGTTATTTTTACAGACAAATGAAATGCTATACATTTAATTGAGAGTTAGTCTATTACAACACATGCTATTGTCCAAACAGACCCATAAAAAAACCCCAAACCACTAAATAAACCCCAACAAACAACCAGCCACAGAAAACAACAAACCCCACATCCTCCCACCTATGAAGACCTAAGGAACAAGAACATCTGGCAAAAGTATTTGTTCATGTAACCAAACTAGTCTGATTAATTACATAAAAGAGCTTGAAGATACCAAGTGCAAAAAAATTTATTTTCAAAACTCAAATAAATATGAAGGCCTCACAACAGAAATATGTCAGTATATAAACATCCACATTACTTCGCAGCAGGTGAGATTTTTTTTTTTTTTACCGTTATACTCTGATGCTCAATCCTCAGTTTTTCCACTCCTGCACCATATAATTCCCTTAATAAACACATTATTCTTGTCTTTTTTCCAGCTCCTGATGGTCCATACACCAACAGATGAGGAAAGTCACCACACTGAACCTGAACACAAAGCAACACGATTAGTTAGCTACAACATTTTCCTTATAGGAGAATATTCATCCTTCCATTCTCACCCAAGTTTACATAGAACGACTTTTCCAGCTCAGTCACAACATAGTACCTAGAATTAGAACTGCTGAATTGCTTTCCCGCAGCAATATTTCCTATAGAACATCAGATTTTTCTGAAGACCATATGTAACTCATTTAACTCCAAACACCTCACCCATAAAAAAAAAACACCCAAGCCCAAAACCCAACAACAACAACCCTCCCCCAAGCCCAAAACCCAACAAAAAAACTAGTCACCCCAGCGTTTACATGCTTTCCAGGGTTTCTAGAGTGACAGCTGCAATAAACACAAAATAAAAAGGATTAAAACAAAGTTTAAAGCAGTTATACACACAGAGAATTATGTGTGTGTATATATATGCATATATATAATTGCTTTGTTGTTTCAGTTGCAAGCCTTGAATCTGAGCAAGCGAGTAATAGATAGCCTGTATTTAAATTAAGTTAGGAGTTTGTTTCTTGAAAAGCTAAAAAGCGTGACCTGGAGAACATCTGACCAAACCCCACAGTCAGAATTTACATTAGTGAGATATAACAGTCATAGAGAAATGCTGAGATAGTGAATTAATCCAGCGGTCTAGTGAAGAGAAGCCAAAACCTCTGGCAGGGGAAGCAGTCCTTTAACATCCGAGCAATTACCTAGTCCTGACTTTTACTCCCAGCTGCTCACCTTAAAAACTTCAGCTAACTTTAAGTGAACAAGGTAAGCCCTATTCTCAGAGATAGCCATCATTCTCAGCTAAAACCAGCAGGAAGCACGGATGCACATCACTCCCGAAGAAGCCAAGCCACCCATTTCTTCGCAGCCTTTTCCTTAGCGTAAAGGCCGTGCTCCCGAGCGGGGCACGATGCCAGCGGACCGCCTTCCCACCGGCGGCGCCCAGCAGAGAAGCCCCTCCGAAGGCTAGGGCCCGCGCCGAGGGAAAGCTCCCAACCCCCGCCCTCCAGGCCCGCAGACGCAGCTTACGGGCCGCGGCATCCCCACTCCTGCGGGGGAGGAGAGGGGCCCGGTGGCGGGCTCGCCTCAGGCGGGCCCACGGCTCCCCGAGAGAAC